GAATTTCCTCACGTCTTTTATTACAGATTGATCAATAGTGCTCCCATTTTTGGACAAACATTTTTGAGGCGAAATACCCAAAAAGTTTGTAAAAAATGAATCCGCCTCAACAATATAGAACTTATCTATAAAAATCACTATCGTATGGACCCCTTTCTGTTGTACGTATAGCAGTTTTGATTAAGAAAAGTGACTTGAATATGCAAATATTTGTATGCATGCAGGTCAGCAGAAAAAGCCGATAACTGAACATTGGAGGAAACACACATTGATCGACATTGATCCGAAAAGTGGAGCAGTAAAAATCAGGTACAGAAACGTGATAGATGAAACTTTGAACGAAGCCGAATGCAAGACGGTCCCTCCAGCGATTCGATCTTACTAATTTCGACCCACCAGGCCCTGTTATACCATTATCACACTTTAAACATTAGTAATTTATGTGGACGTTTTTTGCTTAACGATTTTAATAGGTTTGATTTTGAAAAGAAAAATAAAGTCAACCGTTGCCGATGCAAACATCTATGTAAAAGTGTCTCCAAGTCGGGCTTAGACCGCCTAGATTCTGCGGGAAGTATTTTTTAAGCAATTATTTCGGTAGGTGTATAGCGTATTTATTATTTTACTGTAAGATAATCGGAGATACATTGACTGTTGTGAATAAAAGTCGAGTTTTCTGTACGAGTTTATATTTGCCATTAAAGAAATATGTTGCACAACAGCAATTATTTTTCTGATTTGCTCTAAAATACCGAATTTGGCGGAAAGTAGTTGACATTTCCCAAATGAATCAATTGGACCATGAACACTGTATTTCTATTGAAGTATGCTAATTTTCAGTACACAGTACGGAGTATTAAGTGTAAAAAAGTAAAACTATGGTAATATTTAATAAAAACAGCCTTCCGTTGCGGATCGGTTATCCAACTATCTCGTATTCGCAAAAAAATTCTGATAGTGGCCCGAAAAGGTAGACTGCCGGCGTTTCCTGGGGGTTTCCCAGGAACTCTGCGTACAATTCTTGATATCTGGACAAGGTAATTCCTCCTCGCTTTCTATCGTCATCCTGAAACAAGCAACAGTTGCCAAAACGGTATGTCGGATTGTTCCTACTTACACTCAACATATTATTAAATGCTTCATCCACAATTTCCACATCGTCTATGGCGAATTTTGTGATGCAGTTGAAGCGGTACTCATCGGCATCGATCACTCCATCATCATTTGTATCGACCATTTTAAAATTAGAGTCTGCAACAAAGCAGCAATTAAGACCAGGGCGGCTTTAAGCATAAATTCTATATACTTTCCTGACTGTGTTTCAATTCCAAACCAAATCTATTCCTGGGTTTCAGTCATTTATTGTCTCTATTTAACAATCAAAATACGTTTCGGTGTATTTTTCCACCATCATCAGTTTTTATGTGTAGCGTTGTTGCTGCTTTAAGCCTTGGCATGCATTT